CGCCGTCACCTCCCGCTCGCTCCCCGCAGCGTGAAGATCGCTCCGGGGGCCGTGGTGTGCGTGGAGAGCGAGATCCGCGGGGATGTGACCATCGGTAAGGGCCCGCTGTCCCCCGCCCCGCCTGGCCACGCCGCCGGCACCGGCCCCGGGCTGACGCCGGGCTGTCCCCGCAGGGCCCAGGACCGTCATCCACCCCAAGGCCCGCATCATCGCCGAGGCGGGGCCGATCGTCATCGGAGAAGGGAACCTGATCGAGGAGCAGGCGCTCATCATCAATGGGTTCGTGGGACACGCGGGGGCTGGGGGGCTTAAAAACCCTGGGGAGGCAGAGTTTATTTAAAAAAAAAATAAATCACCAAATGTCGTGCTTTTGTGTACATGTGTGGCACTGGGGCTTGGGGAGAAGGCACAGAATTTGCAAAGGTTAAGTGCTTGAAGGGACTCTATAAAGATAATTTTGTACCACCCCTGTCACAGGCAGGGACATCTTCCACTATCCCAGGTTGCTGCCATCGCTGTCCAACCTGGCCTGGAACACTTCCAGGATTGGGGCAGCCAGCGTTGCCCTGGGCAACCTCTTGATTATCTCACCTCCATCACAGTAAAGATTTTCTTACATACATGCAACCTAATTTTCCCCCCTTGAAGTCTGTGCCCCTTACTCCCTGTTCTGTCACTCCAGTTGCTGACAAAGAGTCCCTCTCCAGCTTCCTTGTAGGCCCCCTTCAGATAGTGGTTGGTTGCTAAGTCCCCCTGCTGAATCCTTCTCAAGGTGACAGAGTAGCAGAATCCTAATCCTAAACAGTCTCAAAATTCTGACAGCACAGCTCTGCTGGGTGGGAGAGCTGTGGCTTCAGTCAGTCTGGCACAAAGTTGAGCTGCCACACAGAGCACTGTCCTCCTGTTCTCAGACGTGGGAATCTGTTCTTCCTTCTTGCAGCTATCCAGAAAATATAACCCCAGAGAGCGAAGATGTGGAGCCCAAGCCCATGGTCATCGGCACCAACAATGTTTTTGAGGTTGGGTGCTGTATCCTTGCTGTGCGGTGACAAACCCTCCCTTGTCACATCCACTGCACTTCTGGCTCCCTCCAGGGGGAAGCGTCTGTGAGCTCTGTTGGGGTTCAAATAGCCCAGGGCTGCGTGGGGGTTTGGAAAAGGCATCAGGGTTTTTTCCCTGTTGGAAAAAAAAAAAGCAAAGCGTTTTACAGTTTTACTTAACACAGACCCGTAGATTCCCAAGCCATGAAGGTGGGAGACAACAACGTCATCGAATCCAAAGGTAATTCTCGGCCGGGATTCTGCTCCTGTAAACGCTGTGGGGGCAAGGCTCACAGGGATTCCCCTCTCTCTCCCCCTCTGCCTGGCAGCGTTTGTTGGCAGGAACGTGATCCTGACGAGCGGCTGCATCATCGGGGCCTGCTGCAACGTCAACACGTACGAGGTGATCCCGGAGAACACCGTCATCTACGGGGCCGACTGCCTGCGGCGCGTGCAGACCGAGCGGCCGCAGGTGCGCGTGGGACACGCTGCCACCTCCCGTCCCCCTGGGGCTGCCCCTCTGCCTGCTGCCCTCAGGCCGTTCCCTCACTTCTCCCTTTGCCTCCCTTTCCAGCCCCAGACGCTGCAGCTGGATTTCCTGATGAAGATCCTGCCCAACTACCACCACCTGAAGAAGACCACGAAGGCCTCGTCCACCCCTGTCAAGAGCTGAGCACCCACCTCGTGCTTCCAGTGCCTGGCCGGGTGCTGGGTCCTGGGAAGCAGTGCACGCTCCGGAAAGCATCCGGTCTCCACGCCCCTCATTCCATCAAACCGCTTCTTGCTTGTTTGTGTAATTTATTCATCTTCCACCGGGAGTCTCAGACCTGCTTTGAGTCTGTCGTCTCCCACGCGTTAACTCTGTTGTTCGTGCTTTGTTTTGGGAATAAAACATATGAAATAAAACATCCCCTGTTCTGCTGTCCGAGCGAAGCGCAGCCGTGTGACCGTGCGGGGTGCGGTGCCTGTGTCACACAGGCCGTGTGTCACCGCGTCCCGCCCCGGGGACAGCCCCGGTGCCGCCGTGGTGCCGGCAGAGGGCGGTGTGACCTCGGGATCCACACGGAGACCCCGGGCTGGGGAAAGCTCCACGGACCCGGTGCCACCCTCCGCCCCTTCCCCCGAGAGATGCTCCTGCTCGGGCTGCCTCCCGGAGGACCCGGAGCAGAGCTGAGCCTTGTTCCGCTGGAGCCTCGGGAATCGCCACTCTTCCCAGCCGTCCCCCCAGAGCCACCACTTGTTCACGACTTCCCTTTCTATCCCTCTATGACACGGTCCAGCGCTGTGTCCCAGCGCAGATGGACATGGACGCAGCAGAAATTCCTGTAGGAAGGAGGGAGAGAAGGGAGAGGATCAGCACCTATCACAGAAGAACCCCAATTTTTGTGGGACACGGGGCTTTGGCTTGGGACCGGGGGTTTCAAGGCAAGGAAGCAGTGCGATATCCGCTGGACCAAGCGGGATTTTCTCCCCAAGTCCAGTTTCGTGGACACAAAAAATGCAAACCTCCCCTTTTTCCGGTGTGTGATTCCAAGCGGGGTTCCAGCGCTGCTGGGGAATTGCAGCTCTTCCCCAAAGCTGAGTCCAAATAAGGGTTGTGAATTTTGTCCCACCCACTGTCCAGCCAGAGCTTTTGGTCGAGATGCCTCTGGAGGGAAAAAACAATGCGAGATAAAACACATCTCTAAATTCCCCCCTTGCTGAAACATCTACCCCAGAAGTCAGAGGCTCCAGCAGATTTGGGTGACGAGATCGGTCTCTGTGCTCGAGATTCCCTCTGGCGGGGGCAGCTGCCCTTGGAGCCAGACATTTCCCGCTTCCCCAAATCCAGCCGGCGCAGCTCATTTCCACCTCCCTCCCGGCGAGAGGTTCTGCCCTGTAAATCGCTGCTGCGGGGAGCCTGCAAACCTGCTGGTGGCCGGGCTGTGTCCCCCGGGCAGCACAGGCGGACAGCAGCCCCCGGCTCTGTTTCGGCCGCTGAGGCGCAGAAAGGCAAGCGATGACCTTAAGCGCCCGCTGGGAGCCAGCCCAGTGCCAGGGGCAGGATGTCCTCGGTGTCACCACCGAGAGCGCCTGCTCTGGGCGCAGCTGCTGCTCTCCACCCCGAGGGTCTCCGGTCACCGAGCGCAGCCCCGCGGGACCGCAGCCCCCGCCGTGGGGCAGTGCGGGGCTGGAAGGACCCAACACCGAGCTCTGGGATAGAGCGCACACGATGCCAGGCCCAGAGAAGGCTCTGCAAACCCCCAGCCGAAGCATGAAGCTTAAATGCAGTCCCCGGGCCAGGCGGGGAGGGGTTGAGCCCCCAGGTGGGGCTGGTTGGGGTGATGAGCCCCCACCGCTCCTTCCACTGCCCCCAACCTTCCATCGGGGGTCCCCTCCTCTGCCCCGCAGCCCTGATGCACTGATGTGCCCCAAGCCTGGTGTCCCGCATCCTTAAC